GTGGCTTCCAAAACAGAAACTTGGACATGGAAGTTCCTGATACTTGCGGCTTGTTTGGGAGGTGTTTTCTTACTGGGACTGGCACCGTCCCACACTGTTGTTCACACATGAAGCTGACAGGTCCAAATCCATCTTCTTTTGTTGTAGATGTTGTGGAGTCAAGCACGACGCAGACTAAGCCGGCATCTAGTATGACCACAGGTAGGACATACATTTAAATAGAAATCCAGATCATTATCACAAATCACTTATATATTTGTTATTTTGAAAGTTATAAAAGATTTTCATTCAGCAGGTCCTACTGTTCCTGATCTCTCTCTGATCCTTGCTTCAACTCCTGTAACTCCTATAAAACAAACATCAGGTAACAAAATTACAGATACATTGAGTCAGACTTTAATTAATCACATATATGTGTATTATGCTATATGTGAGTGCTAAATGTATTGCATGACCACGTTCATATTGGGAGGAGTATTGAACATAAATGTTTCTCAGGGTTTTTATTCTTACCTAGTCTTAAATCCTTTATGTTAACATTAGGAAGGCACTTGTTAATTGTCTCTTCTATTAATGCAGAGAAGATTACATTGATGATTGGAGGTGGTGTGACTGTGGGAGTTGTCTTGCTTGGATTGACACTTCTCTTGACTCAAAGCAGGATTGGTAAGAATTAAATACAAATTACCATGTGTTCTTTCTAAAATAGGAAATATTTAATGTGGTTTCACATTGTTTTCAATAATCATTGGTTATTTTTTTGTGCATTTTCTAGAAAAATGTGTTTCCAAGAGGTAAGAAATCATATTTCTCAAATGTTGTCATGTAAACTCCAGTGAATACCACTACGTATATTCTTTTTCATCATTGCTTTGATTTACAGTCATAGTTTCAAGTGTTCTTTCTGGCAGCTGCTTAAGATAACTACAGTCTTATTCCAGCTGTCTTTGAGCTGCTCTAGTACAGTTGCAGGATAAATGCGTTTCTCAAGGGCACGTGGACATTTGGCACTAAGGTTCTTTGAAGGACCTCTCAAAAGGTCTGAGCAGCAAAGAATACATAATTCAGAGATCACAATAGATCCTTGTTAACGCAACAAATTGACAAAACTTGAATAAAAGCAGGAAGGAGGAGGTAGGTCGATGGAGCAACCCACAGCAACAAGTAGGTGTTGACATGAAGGAATCAGCAGAGTAATAGTGACAACTGTCGGGTCAGAAAGTCACTTTTTAGTCACATCATTTAGATGTTTGGGGAGTATAATACAGTATATTCATCTGGTATATGTACTGTGCTTTTGCTCTCCTCTTTAATGAAGAAACACTCTTTACAAAACCTTGTTTTAAACTTTTTTCCCCTTTAGACTAAATGGTTTGCAGGTTGATTATGATGAAACCTACAGTATCGTCACCTACTCTACGAACTGGTGAGCTGCTTCTCTCGTCCAGAATGTAGTCTAAGGTTCATAGTAGGGCTGTCGGGATATCAGATTTTCACTACACGGTTACTGTATTATTGCAATATCTATAGAACATTTTAAATGATTATATATATATATATATATATATATATATGAAATTATTATAATTTGTGTATTATTAAAACAATATATAATTGTTAAAGATCACAGTTAACAGGCATAACATGACAGGTACAGGTACACTCATACAAATGTTATTATTGCAGCATGACAGATACTAAACATGTGCAACTTTTATTCTTATTAAAAATATTTACACTTCACTGACAACAGTTATGTCTGTTTCTTTTTCTTCATAGCGGGACACCAGCTGCACCTGAGAGAGGCCAGCTACATCAGCCCTGAGCAATGTAGTGTACAGCACTCCAAAGTCAACTTGACCTCCAACTGTTTCTCTTGCTCCTCTTTCACTTTGCTTTTTTATGTACAGTTTAGATGTTTACGCTTAGTACATCAGTATCCCAAAGAGTTGAAACTATAATGGTGTAATGGCTCAATTGAACTTTATTGACTAGACACAGAAGTAAAGTCAGAATATAACGTGTGTCATGTGTTGCAATGCTTTCACAACTATTAAAAAAGTAGAAATTAATTTCAAAGGTTGAAGTTGAGGTTTGTGTTTCTTTCTATGGCGCTTTAAATGGAAAACATTACATTCAATTAAATTACGTTACATTTTATTTATATAGCCCAATATCACAAATCCCAAATTTCAAAGCTTTACAATCTGTACACATACGGCATCCTCTGTCCCAGGACCCTCGCATCGGTTCAGGAAAATCTCCCCCCAAAAAATCCTTTAACAGGGAGGAAAAAACAGGAAGAATCTTGAAGGAGAGCAACAGAGGAGGGATCCCTCTCCCAGGATACTCTGCAATGGTGGCGCCAGCTGTCATCAGGAGTCTTCTAGCTCAATTGTTATGTTTTCGCTCTGACTGACTCGCAGCTTGTTGTGCTAACCACATCGGTGGTACAGCTAAAAGCTTTCAGGCGCAACTCCTGCTTGTGAACTTTGGTTGAGCATTACCTGTAAAATCTTTTATTGCATTAGCGTTAAAAACTGACAGAACAAATAATTACTTTTTGGTTAAAGTCCATAACATTTTGACTTTTATTTTGCATAAAATACTATGACATTCTGTATGATATATTTGTTTATGGCATACTATACTATGACATTTTTATGGCATACTACTTTTTATGATGTAGTATGTTATGATATTTTTATGACATACTATATACATTTGTATGGTATACTGTATTGACATTTCTCATGACATTTTTATGGCATACTGACATTTTTTAAATAAAAAATGAATAAAAGGAAAATATAACCTTTTTTATGGCATTTCATGGCATACTGTATTTTGGCTTTTCTATGTCATTTTTATGACCCTCTATACAATGACATTTTTTATTATGACATAATGTATTTGATACAACACACCCAATTAAATTGACGTATTTATTAAAGTCAATTGGGACTCAATTCAACATTGGATACCTGTACCTGTTTTTGATTTCATGTCATTTAAAATGTTTACATAAATATTTATTTTATACACACTGGACATTTATCATCTGAAACAGTCTTCTCCTACTGTAGATATTGTGAAAAGAGAGTCAAGCATGGCCCCGGCAATGCCAACATTCAGTACGACCAAATGTAGGATATGTTATACAGAAAGGTAGCAATCCAGAACATATAGCAACTCAGTATTAATTAGTGTTTAAATTTGAAGAGGTCTTTGTCTTTTTATTTGCCTGGTCTGACTGTTAGCAGGTTCCATGCTTCTGCTCTGGTAACTGTTATTAAACAAACATCAGGTTACAAAATTAAACATAATAAATGTGACTTAAGTTAGTTACAAATTATGTGTTTCAGTGTTTTCAATATATTGAAATGTAGTTTCTTTGATTCACCAGGTTGGATTGTTGGTCCACCAAGTAACATTCGCAATTTTATCTTGTATGTGTGTGTTGGATACAAAGGGGCAAAGTGTCAGGCCCTTCACCTACAAACTGTCACTCAATGAGACTCGCACAACCAGGAAGAGACTCAAAATGACCACAAAGAAACATAAAACAACTACAAAGAGACACAAAAAGACAAATAGAACTCCAAAAGAGACTCACTATGAAAAGTGTCAATCCAATCACAAAGAGACTCAAAATGCCCAAAGAGGCACATACACGCCTTTCGCCTCAGGGCCCAACGTCTCATAATCCAACCAAGCTTCCTACTTTGCAGATGCTCGCCCAGGTTATTCAAGTAAATGAACAATGCGCTGTGTAATATTTGTACCCCCAGTACAAAGGAAAACAATATATAGTTTTAACGTTAATATGCTTTTGTTTCTTAAGCAGAAACTAGTATGACTCCTATGAATCTGATGAAATAGCGGGTAGACTAAAGATTGTTGTTATTGCATGGAAATGCTAACATTTATTACTGTGTGGTGTTAATGTTTGTGGCTGTGCACATATTAGGTTCAAGTGTTTGTTCTCCTGGCACTAAAGAGAGCTCTAACCTGGCAACCACTCTGAAAACAGCCTCACATGAGTATGTGTAATTCTTTAGCACTTGAGTTCAGTGATTAAATTATTACAACCTAAATTACTCTTACTAATTATTGCTATAAATCATTAACAAAGCAATAATGTTCTTGCAGTTTGTATATTTGGTATGCACTGGTATTGGTGGTTGGAAGACGGTTCTGCGCAGTCTTCCTGCTTTTTGTTAATGTTGTGAGAAGCAAAACTGATACTTGTTTATGGCTTCTGTTGAGGCGAAGCAGAAACGTGGATAAGGAAGTTTGTAGCAGTTGTGGCTGGTTTTTGGAGTAACGGTGGGCATCTTGCTGGTTTCTGCACTTCTGCATAACTAAAAAAGAACTGGTGAGAACAATGTCGATGTGTTTGTCTGATAAGGTAAGCATCTGTTAGCTCAGAGCTACTAAAATAACTATTGTGTAAATCTTCAGCTTGCACAGAACAAACATACAAGACCTGCACCTCAAACTGAAAATAAACCACGTGTGTCGTGTGGGAGACAACCACTGCAGTGAAACAAAAATAACCTCCTTTGCTCGGGTCTAACTCTTTTTCACATGTGAACAAAATACTGCATGAGTAGAGATGGCGCAGAATTGTTCTCTAAACAGTGTATTTTGTGAACTTAAAAGGGTAATGCTGTCTATACTGTGACCTTCAAATTCTTGAACCTAATCAGCCAGGCTGAAGGCTTACTTTTTCATTTAGAGAAATGTGTTATTTGATATATAGGCTACAGACTTTGTGTATTTCACAGCAGCAGGTTTGGAGAAAGTGAAAAGGTGGCAGGAGTCTCAAAATGAGAATATAAGTTTGACAGGAGGGACAGTATTAGATATATTTGTCATATATATTAATGGATGCTACAGTTGGTATATTTATTTTCCTAGTTGGACACGTACCATTTATACTGCACCATCTCTGAGGAGCCAGCTGCATCAACCCTGAAGGGGATGGTGTACAGCACCGTGCAGCCACACTGAAACACAAACTGTTTAATACTGCATAGAGAAAGGGAAAGCAGACCGCCTTACTGTTAGTAAAGTAAACCTTGTGTTTAAAGTTGACTGGTATAATCTAGACTAATGTTGGACCTCTGTAATGTCTTATTCTTTTATGATGATGCTGATTAAACCAAACTTCTACGATCATTTTCCAACATTTTCAAATAGTTCTATGACTTACAAAGCACAGCATGGGTCCTATATAGCATTTCAATTTACCTTCTTTTTAATTTATTCTTTAATTTCACTGATATTTAGCTCGAACAAAATCTCATTTTACTCCTATTTGTAATTGTTGTTTTCTATTCCAATGTGTTTTCTGTTGACAATATTTTTGTAATTGGTTGTATTGTGTGATTATGCATCACAAAAAATTGCATGCATTTACAACTTACTGCTGCTGTTTGTATTTGTATTTTGTATTTTTAGTCTCCTTTTACTCTCACTGTGACACATATCCGCATCCCCACTACATCGCCAAACACACACACACACACACACACACACACACACACACACACACACACACTTTAAAAAATAACACAAGGAGTAAATAAAGGAAGGAAAATATTTCTTCGTATTTATTCATCAGCTTTCTCAAACATGAGGTTAAGAGTATGGTCACCTTGACAAATTATGGCGGGATATATTGATGTGACATTCTGTGATCTTCTTCATGCATCTTTAGCTCGTCTGAAATGTCGTCTGCTTTAAAACAAGGAGAAACTGGCAGAATAAAGCAAGTTCTAATTGCCCCTTGTCTCTCAGCTATTTTACATGATTATTACAGACACCAAAAAGAATTAAGGTACAAAATAAAATATTTGAAGAAAGAAAACTATGATGGCACTGTCAACTCTTTTTTAACAATTTACTGCCAAAATAAAGACAGCTCTGCATTCTTTTCACACGACAAAAGTGCATTTTACATTCCTTACATTTTTTCCTCATAAAGAAACAAACATATATTTGATCTCTTACTATCATCCTTTGCACAACTTGACTTGTTTTATACTTTGACAAAAAATGCCTTATTTTTACTGTTGACATAGTATATTTCTTTCTCTTATTTAATTTCAGCACACATTCAGTACAATATGGCAAACTGTCAGTGGCATTATATGCAATGCTCTGAGCAAAGTCACCAAGCACTCCCATTAATCTCATTTACTTTTGCTGCGCCACATCGCTAATGTTTTCTGCAATAATGGATGCGAGTCTCAGTGCTACATATAAAGATTTTTTTCTTAGTAGAGCGCTGCCTGAGGGATGAGCAAATTCATTTCTGACTGGCCATGTTCTCTGTGTTTAAAGCATCTTCTTGTTGATTTAGTCCTTACTGATGTCCAGTTCTGCTGGTAAAGGTCACCTGCTGATGGTCGCTGCTATCAGAGGGAGCAGAGCTGCTGTTAGAGGACTGGAGAGGCGTGTTGCTGAACCACACTCCATGGCATTTTCCTGCAGAAGACACAGTCATTTGTGATACATATGGATCTGTTCAGGGTAGAAGAGTGAATATTAACGGGGTGGATATACCCTCGTTGGATATACCTATCTGAGATAGAGAGTAGTGGTTGCTAATAGATGTGAACTGTTGTTGTTGTTGTTGAACAAGTTAAACCACTTTTTTCCAGATAAAAACCAAAATGAAACCAAACTAAAATACTATTAATAATCCCTAATTGCACAGGAGTTTGGTATGGTTAAAGCTGAGGTAGTAAATTGGCCTTTGGGTGATATTTTGTCGATTCAACTTCTTTTTTCATCCCAATAAATGTGCTAACCTCAGGGTTTATTTATTATTATATATTTATTATTATGTATTTACAACCAGTATGACTGTCTGACTCTTTGCCCCCTTGGATTTCTTTTTAACAATATCATAGCGTTCCCATATACCAACAATTAGTTACAATATTATTATTACCAATGTGAATGATGGCCAAAACTACAAACGTAAGATTCAAGTTCTAATAAGCTGAAAATATCCTGTTATGATCAAATCATGCATAACTTGTCTGTCTTTCATTCCATGGAGCTTCTCAGTTTCTCAGAGTGAGAATTCATATCAGTGGTCAACTTGCTTCATGGTTGATGCGTGACTTATGGATTGATCTACAATATTTTACAGAGTCAATTTTCTACGGTCCTAACAAAGACCTTTTTGATTTGTTACAGTTGAACAGGATGAGCATAAAGACAGGAAGCAGGGGTAAACGGCTAGCCTGCCTCTGTTTGACTTAAATATATGCCTTTGAGCTCCTCTAAATATTTGTTAGGTCTTGGTCGTGAGCAGTGACTTCCTGGAGCTTGGCCGTCACCAGACAACTCGAGGAAGTCAACAAATACTTCTGCACGTAAACCAGACTGTTTCTGTGCTCCAGTATGAACTTCACCGTATAACTGTAGGCTACATGTAGTCACATACTTGTATGCAGACAAACACACATCCTCATACCTCAGGGTGGAAAGGATGACACGATTCAGGCTTCTTTCTGTCCTTCTGAAACTTCAGTCTGTCACATTTTAGTGACTCGTTGTGTTCAAAGGCGTCAAGGGTGTAAATACATCAACTGAACACGTTTATAAGTTCAGAGCTTCCCCAACTCATTTATTAGGCTGAAGCAACACTTAAGTAGTGAAAGTCAAACATTAAACTTCAATAATAGTAACTCAAATATTTTTATGATCTACTTTCTGCATCTGCTTAAACATATCAAACATCTGTGTTTCACCGAAAAAGGATATACATGATCTCGTTGGGATCCATGGTTACTGGAGGAGAACTGCTGCAGTCACACTTATTGTCCACAACAACCATGAAGAGGTTGCTGCTGGGAATCTGCTGTATGACAAAAGACCTGCGGCCCAAACAGAGACAGACACTGGAATCAAACTGTTAAAGGATTAGTAGCAGACTGAACATCTACTGTTTAAGAAAGTCAGTGTCAGTATTTGATGATTCACTGTGTCTGCTGTTGGCCTGACGAAGTACCTGATACAGCCCTCACAGTCAATGTTGCCTGTTGTTTCTTTGATGGTGCGTTCGGAGACAAAGGCGGGGTATTCTGTATCACACGGCACCATCGTGGGTTTACCTCGAGACCTCTGAGCTGAATGTGTGAGAAATTGATCTGCAGTAAGTTATCAAAACCACAGAAAAACAGAGAAGAGCTCCACTTCTCATACTCTCTCACACATTCACCTCTCTGTCTCACACACATACACGCCTGTAATGATCATCAACCGCAGTTACCTTTAACTGAAAGATCCACATTCCACCAGCTGTACAGGTTAAATTCTAGCAGAAAACTGTAATAAGAAAAATACTTATTAATGTCAGGTAACACAAGGATGAGAATGGATTAACTGTAAACTATTGTCTTTCTCAAAGTAAAAAATAGTAAATGAGAAAATTGATTAATATACCTACCTTAATATTAATAGCCTACTATTTAAGCACAATAATAAGTAGTAAGCAACCATGAACTATTTGTCTTGTTACTGGTTGACATGCTGAGTAATGAGGTACTGTTAGTACACAGGATAGGTGTAATATGTAAATGCCTTTTTTTTTAAATATTAGTAATCCACTTACATCTCCAGCCTTTTTGTTTTAATCAAATACTAACTATTATTTAACAATATTCTCCTTTTATAACGACACATTGTGTACATCATATCATGTACTTTATGAGCCCATGTAATGTACACGTATCTAAATGTTGTGGTATACTTACATAACAAGTTCAGCCAGGAGCCACTTAACAACAGTGAAAGGCTGAAAGAGAAAAAAAGAGCTAATGTTAGAGTCTGAAATTAAATTAAACTATGTACGAGGTTGTTTAAATGTAGGAGGTCATTTTTAGACTGTGCTCTATACTGATGTTCCTCCAGTGTTGACCACAAATGTAGATGTAATCATTGCTTCTAGCGTCTTACGTCTGATAGAGTGCGTGCACTGTCGCTGCTCCCAGCGTACTCTCTGCAAACGGCCTGGTAATCATACAGCGCGATCCTGCAAAAACAAACAGAGTAGCAGAGGTTGTAATAACCATCAAATATGATGTTTATAACAACATGCTTTTAAAGTTAGGTTCAATGTGTAAGTTCAGGACTCAGAGAAATGTTTTGCCGTGTCTCAGACCTTTTGAAGGACCCCATTTGGAGAAGTTTGTTCATAACAGCACCCTCCACCTCTCCGAAGAAGAGCCCTGTCTGAGAGAGAAGTTATGTCAAGGCACACAGGCACACAGATTAACACAGACACTGGGTGGACAAAATCATGAGAACAAAGGACTTTCTCTTAACTAAGTAAGTTGTAATTAAAGATTTGTTTATCATCTTCACATTTCTGTGGGATGTTCTAAGTGCAAAATGACAAGTAGACTTTTATTGCCTTCCTCTATCTTTCACCCTACTTCCCTCCAGATCGTTAAACTATCTTATTTATGTTGCTCTACATACATTTTCAAGACTTGTGCAAAAACATTTAAGGACAATTGGAGCAGTTAAGGAAACGGGGCGCATGTGTTTAGGTGTTTACATTATTTCAGATGTAAACATGCACCCACAAACATTACAGTTTACACCGTACCTGAGATTGCTCCTCTGTGACAAGAATGAAGGCATTGTTGTCAATGAGATAACAGTTAATGTCCTGTCAGAGGGGCAAATAAAATGATTGTGTTAAGGAAATAACCTGAAAGAAAATAGAAAGTTAGAGTCATGTTACTGTTCTTACCGCGTTATCGCAGCTAATGCTACATTTTCCATCCAGAGCTGTACACTGAGAACAAAACATAAGTAGTTAAGCTGTACAACTAATAAGGGAGCTCATTGTAAAAGGCTGCAGTATTTGTTGTGTTTTTACCTGTCTGCAGGCAGTCCAGAACTTCCTCTGAAAGAACTCCAGCTTCATCTGGATCCCTACAGCTGAGCAAAAAACCAAACGCTTAAGAGACTGCACAATATACAAAAATAAGTCTCAACATGAAGATAATTATGAAAGATGGTTCAGAGGCTGTTACCTGCAACGATTGGAGACTTTCTGTCATCGAGGAGCTGAATTGCTGTGCTGGCCAAAACCACACTCATATTATCTAAAGCTAGAGAGGAAGAGCAGAGTATATTCAGATTACACTTTCTGCTCACTAGATGGTGCCCTTTACTCACCGGTTGGCAGGCTGAAAAGAAACCGCAGTACCAGTCCATTACATTACATTACAGCAAAGTCTGGTCAGAGCTTTTTCTGCAGCTAGATGACTCCAATAATTCTGAAATGGGTGCTGTGATAGGATCATTTCAGGTTGTGAGTGGATGCAGTCATCATTAACAGAGGGAAGGTGGTAAATGTCCTGGAGAGTGAAGCTGAATTCTCCATCCTCTGCCTCGCAGACTGAACGTGGGCAACATTAACGGCATAAAAGCTGTGAGGGAGGTGAGCTATGCTGCACATCCTATCAGTGGAGACCAGTAAAATCCTCAGTCCATAACAGAGAGAGGGACATACAAAAAGACTGATTAAGATGTTAAAATTCTGAATGACTAAAGCCACCAGATGCGTTTCCAAAAAGTAATTCATATAATGCTGCACTCGATAATTGAAAATATATTAAGATGGACAGTGCAGTTTTGTTCGGGTTCAGGGGACTTTTATTTTGTACTGCACACTTGGGCTATTACCTTAAATCTCTGGTTTTGCTCTGCATACCTGTGCTGAAGGGAATGGAGTAGAGAAATGTGCCGGGGACTTGCTCTGCAGCTCTCTTGTACCACAGAGGGAAGTGATCAGCATTAAACACACCCTCCTTGTCCTCCGCTGTCAGGAAATCTCTGAGGAAGCACACAGAATGAAAGTGAGGAAAGGAGCAAAGGATTAGATTAATCAAGCCCAATCATGGCCTCGCCCTGTGCTGTAAGTAATGATTAGAGAGATGTTGAGCAGCAGGACTCACTGATTGGAGAGCTGATCGGTGGGCACAAACAGGTTGGTCCTCGACAGGCCGGTGCGTGTACCCAGGAAGGCGATCTCCACTCCTTTGTCTGAGTTCCTGTTGGTTTATGCAGAGCAGTAAAACACATCTATGTGTCACATTTTTGAATGCTTTCCCTGAATGCACTGATTCAGATCTGCTGCTGATTACACCGAGAGGTGATTAGAGGAAAGTTCTTGATGCAGCTGATGTAGCTCTCATTTTGGAGGTATATTGTCAAAATACCATATTCTTTGTCTTAAAATAGCACTCACACGTCCACATGTGTTTCATATATTGTTATTGTAAAGGGTTGGAAAGAAAACATACAGCAAAGAACTAAACATCACAGTAATATCTATGAAGTGGGATACTTAATATCAACAGACGAAATAGTCCTCCATCAGAGAGTCCACATATGCATTGAAATTGGTTGCTGTGATCGTTCCTCCTGTTCATACTGGCTTTGAAAAAACCCCTTCCTAACATCATTCTAAATTCCAGCTGCAGCTAATATGAGTTTTCAGCAGTTTGATTTAAAGAAATAAAGTGCGAATCTCCCAAAGTTACATTCTTTTAAGTACAAACTTCCCTTTGTATTATCCTCACTCCAACACAAGAATGTGGTTGCCACTTTCTAAAAAGGCGTATTAAAGAGTTTATAACTAATGGTCTTGTTAGTGGTTAACAATGATTTAAACATCAGTTATAAGCCATAAAACCAAAAAACAATGTTTGTGTTGTCAGGTTGTGAAAAATCCCTTTGGCTGGTGTTTCCTCTAATTGATCATGGCAACTTATTACCATTAACTAACGCAGACCTGATTGATTATAGTAAGAACATACAATACATTTGCAATCATTTATAATTCCAGACGACTCACAAACATTCAATGTTGGCTCATTAGAAAACCCTAATAGACAGCCTTCGTAACACTTGTAATTAGACTTGCAAGGAGAATATTAAGCAGTACCAAAATGTTCTTACTCTGACTTGTTGAGGGCCAGTCCAGTCCAGTAGGCCTCCAGTGGAGCGGTGACCACAGCATCAAATAACACCTCCTGGATGAGCTCTCTGTCACCTGCAGAGTGTTGTTTAAAGACCCAAAACACCCATCTCTTTTGTAACCATTATTTATTAATTTCATTCTTCATATGATAATTAGAATTTAATTGTGGATAAAAACAGGCTCTGCGTAGTGTAGTTTATTACGGTCTGACTCAGATGTCCCTTACATTTGAGGTGTAGTCTGCGGCCCGTCATGAAGAGCTTGATGGCTTGAATCTGGGTCAGGTGACGGTGCTGATGCTGCTCCTCTGTGTTGCAGTAAGTCCTGTGGTCCAAATAGAGCCCCGCTGTTACATCACAGCCCTCAACATCCCTGATGAACACAGAGGGATAACCTACATAACGCATGAATGCCCGCTCCCATAACCCCAGCCTTACCATTCATCTGCCAGGGCGACATCTGGCTGTTCCAGATCACGGAGCCCTGAAAAACACAAGTCAGTAACGCTTCAGCAATGCCAGCCTGAGTAGACTGACACAGTAAGCCCCTTCAGAGTGACATGCATCTCACTGTATTCAGGCTTTAGTTAATAACAGAGCTAATAACAGAGTCAGAGTGACATACCGGCTTCAACTGATACATTTCCTCTGAAGAAGTACTTTCCATGACCTCTGGAGAGAGCAACTCCAACACTGGAGACACAAACAGAGGAGGGAATCAACGTTTAATGGCAACCGAGACATAGTTCAATTCAATTCAATAAAACAAACAGACAGAAGGTCGTTTTAGGAATGTAATTAAACTTTTTCTCCACCTAAATGGTGTTCCTTTGATGTCAGTGTAGTAATAGTCATTGTGCATCTTCAGGACACGCCTCTAAAAAGAGCAGAAGAAATGGTGCAGATGAAATTTGCTTCTCGGGTCTAGAGACAACAGAGAGAAGAACCCTCTTCTGATAAAGAGACAGTAAACATCTTTATCAGCAGCCTCACCCCTCCATCCACCGTCTTCTTCACCTCCATGGAGAAAGTCCCTGTTCTCCTGTTCACCATAGCGTTGCGTAGCTGAAAGATAAAGAACACAAAGAGGCACATAGGGCAGAGGAGTCAAGGCTGGCTCATTGATCCAGCAGCCTTTGTGTGGCTGCCATTTTACTAGGATACTGAAAACAGAGTCATGCTTTGATGATTCTTTGAGTTAATTTGAAATAATAGATCATTCACAGGACAAACTACTGAACATGCAGTCCAGTAACATTGTGAAATCAAGGCTATTTGTTCATTGCAGTCACACAATGTTGCATGAAGAACAAAGTACATCTAGTGTTTCATATTGTACAGTGAATAATGACTTCTATAACATTTTTAGGAGCTATACATACAATATCATCTTTGTCTTCCCATTCCACCTCTGAGAGATCCACACTGCTGTAGTTGGGCTTCCTCCTCTTCTGACCATCCTGATACTGCACAGAGGAGCACAACATACACAGAAATGATCCACTTTGTGTAGTGACGTTGTATTTGGACTAACCGCTGCATAAACATGTCTGCTGCTCTAGCCTGACCAACTGTGAAATCATGTGACACATCATTTTCAAAATGTATGAGCTTGATATTAAATAAACAAATCTGTTTCGAAAAGCTTCACTGTAATCTGTCTTTTGTGTTTCAATGTCAAAAGTATGCTCCTATTCATCAAGGCTTGTTATGGAGGTTTTGCTGTGTAATTATTCAACAAATCGTCTGTGAAGTTAACACTGTCAGGTAAATTAAAAATGATTAATGTGATTGATAGGAAGTCTACATCAATGCATTAAACTGTCATTAGAATGTCAAACTCTGCTTCTGTATGTCGTCTGGTTCACAAGAAACAACAAGTCAATGACTACAACCACAGCACAGTTTTAGCCACAAAGACACACTCACAAAAAAACAACACCGACCAACACACAGACAGTTGCACAGAGAGGAATAGCACTAACACTGGCACACACAGATCCACTAGCACAGCCATAGCTCCTGAGGAACCAGCGGTCCCAGGGCGAGCGGCTGTGGTCTCTGCCAGTGAGTGTTAAGTTACCTCTGGGAAATCTCAGGCCAGCCAGCCCTATGAGTGGCCTTTATCCCTGCATGCATACATCAAAGGAAAAGGTTGGGATTACAGACTATACGAGCCCATTCAGCCTCCTATAACACATTTGTCTCTGTGTGCCCTCGTTAACGGAGGCTTTCAGTTCATCATTTCTGTTATTCAAAGAATTGCATGGACAAAACAAGGAAAACAGGGTAAAGTCAGGGAATGCTGTGAGACTTTCCTGGTGAAAAAGTAACGTTAAGAAACTGAGTTACCAAAGGCCTGAGGTCCGGATGAATCAGGATGTAGCCATTGTTTGTGATAACAAATGCGTACCCATGGATTCCTAACTAGAAACACAAAATCAGATACACAAGGAAGAAGTTAAAAAACAAAATGCATATTACTGAATTCATTTATTTAAAGTAAAAAGTACAAGAACAGCTGATTGTACCATATGTTTAGGGATGAGCTTCATCAGCTCCTGCAGAGGGATGTCTGTTCCTACGACCCCCAACAGAATACCCTGGTTCTTCTGCACGAAGAGATTCAAAACACACATGCACAACTTGAGAAGAAATCTGTATGAATATTCATTTCGCAATGTCGAAAGAAGTACTCATATCCTAGTAAAAGTAACAATTCCACAACGTTAAAATACTCCATTAAAGGTAGAATTCAAAATCCTACTTAAATAAAAGATCAGAAGTATTATCAACAAAATGTACTCAAGTAAAGCAAAAGTTACCGTGACATAAAGAAATGTCCCGTCAGTGATATACTATATATGACAGATAATACTGATTCATCAATGTGTAAGTAGCATTTTACTGTTACAGCTGGTCAAGGGGTGACTCATTTTAACCATTTTATATACAGTTAGGCAGTTTAATCCAAACTAGGAGTCGGGCCTTCAAAAGGCTCACAAGATAAATCTGAGGGATAGTGAGATGGTGAATGTTAAAGATAAAAAGAAATAGAAAAACAGAATGCACAATTTATAGTAATTTCTGGACTTTTTGCCAATCTCCATGTAATTTTGCCTATTTGGACCTCGGAAAGTTATTAAAAGGAAACCATGTGAGAAGTTAAGAGGAGAAATGTCTCTTTGGTGGAACTGCTAACAACTGATAGACTGAGATCAGAAATGTGACAAGAAGTATAAATATTGATTTTTAAGAGGTTACAAGCCAACAGTGTTACGAGACATTCATTCAGACTCACTGACTCACTCACCGTTTCATTCTTTGTGCTGAAGACAGGCATGGCAACTGTGGTCATCAGACTGGGGCCCGCTTTGTCCTTCAACTGAAGAACAAAAAGAAGACATTTCTAACTGTGGAATGCTGCTATTTCAGCTGCATAATCCCATTGAGGGGGGTGTCAGCATGAGAAAGACACACATTTAAACTGCATTATTATGCCTACAGAACTCTGAAACATTTACTCAGTACATCTCATGCATTTTGAGCAAAAACTAACACACACACGCATTTATTACACTGCATATATATTCAATTTGAGCTGATAAACTGAGATTCCAAGAGGGGTTTGTCATTGAATTGCTACTGCAACTACTGTAGAAAAATGCCATTAATGACTGTTAAAACAATAATTTTATTTAAAAAAAAAAAACATCTAAACTATTCAACAAAATCATATGAGAATTTAAATGTACAAGCTGCCTTGGAAATGTTACATCAACGTTAACGGCCGAAGGAACAATTTCGTTTTTTTCACACAGTACAGTAGCTAATTACCAGTGAAGAGGCAGCCTAATTGACATGAAATTCAATTAAAACTTTTAGATAGAAAAGTGAGGGGGGGAATAACAGCCTCAGGACTTGACAATAATGAAGGCAAAAGTGGCTACAAACGTAAGTAGTCGGGACACAAAGGTCTCATTAGATCAGAGTACTATTTGACACAGAATTAATTAATAGCAGCCTCCAAATGAATTCCTGCAGAATCACAGGGTCCTGGTCGCAGCCTTTCTGTTGTCAAACCTGAACCATGTGAGTCTCACAGGAGCTCATAGGATAAAGGCTGACATAATTAAGCACATGAGCGCCGTTAAAGTAGGTCTGCTATTCCCTCACCTCGTGAGTTGACACAGCTGAATGTGCCCATGGCCCTGTTTGTGTGGTTGGATGTTAATTTGTGTATGTGCATGCATATGAAACAAACGAGCTGTGAATTGTAGTGTGTGCTATCTAGCGCTTGACAAAATGAAGAATGGTGGGTCCTTAAATTCATCAAAACACACGATGGAAGCAGAAACTGGACTGCTTAAGTCTACACACACACACACACACACACACACACACACACACACACACACACA